AGATCGCACTAAATTGAGTCGGAAATAGATTTTAATTGAATAATGTTAAGGAACTTGAAAGACAAACATAGAAAACGAATCCTTCAAAAAAAAAGTCTGGGTGCAGGTGCATTAATAGGCCAGTAATTTAAATTTTGTTTCATCATCGAGTGCAGTTTTGCGAAAAAAGGTATAAAATATAATCACCTAAATTGATAAGTACCATCAGTTAAACATAAAATAACGTATCATCTTCAGACTTATCTATTGCTTACTCATGGCATTGTCATTATAGTATGCAGTAGATGGAATTCAGAATAAATAGAGTTTCTATAATGTCAATAGTGTGTTGTACATGGTACACATACAGTACTTTAAAACCGGATTTAGCTTTATATTGATACAAGTGAACCAAGTGGATGAATTGTCTCGTTTAAGTTTTTTTGCTAATGTGTTTTTGCCATTTAGATAAGTGATGTGTTTTGGCGGTTATTTTCGGAGTAATTGTCCTATTTTTAATCTATTTTCACATTGTTTTGGTTATTTTTTTGTATAATTGCAAATAACATCATACTGTAGCTCACATAGCCTGACAAAGTCAGTTTTTTTTTATTTAAGTTTCTTCGTTTTATTTTTTATCTTCTTGCAAATATGGCAATTGTGAAAAACACCAATGTGGTGATACAAGTTTTCTCTATTTTAAAATAAAGTTGTTGTTGTTGTTGTTGTTGTTGTTGTTGTTGTTGTTGTTGTTGTTGTTGTTGCTGTTTTTGTTGTTGTGTTGATGACATACCTGTAAACAAAAGCTCGCAGTAAGTTTACGTGAAATTGTGCTTGGTTTATTATTGATTAAACAGTTCTACAATCATTATTATAAGCAAATCAGATGAAACTATTCGAGTATTATAGAAATTATTATTTAATAGGATAGTAGTTCATTTTTTGGTACAGTAATTGGTTTTTTACATACTGCATGATATAAATAATTGTTTTAATTTTATTAGGATATGATAATTAAAGTTTCCTTTTCTTATTAAAGAGTAAATCATACTGTAGGACTGGTGAACACAACTTCCTGTCACCATAGTTTGCTCTGGTCCTTAGTATTACTATTAAGTTCATCACCCAAAACCTGACCTAGTTTTGTGTTCAAAAAATTGGTTTATATGCAGTGTATGCATGAATTGAAATAAACGCATTGTAATATTATGTTTTTAAACCTGGTTGTTCAAAGCATGTATATACATCTAGGGCACATTGTCTTTTTTTCTTTGGAAATATCTAGAAGGAAAAAAAAAAACTTAAAAATCCAACAATAACTGATTACTCTGATTGACTGCAGCTTGAAGTACAGTATTACTGATGTAAATTGCTGTATAATAGACCGAATTGGCGGCCCAGGTCACATGATCTATAGTGGGTATTATGGTTTGTTTATATCTATCGAGATGCCAAGACGACAGTGCATTGAATATGGCTTCGCCTTGTTGATGTAAGTCACATCATAGATGTTGCGAATGTTGGTTGGAATGCGAATTATAATTTGGTAAATCACTTAGAAGTGTTTCAAAATTAAATTTTCACTCATCAGTTTGGTTTGGTAAGGCTCCAATGGATAGTGAGAATAAAGCCTGTAAGTTTTTCAAGGAAAGGTAAGGTACATGATGTGCATATTGCTCCAGTGAGTCGTTGCCGGCTGAGGTACTTTTTAGGCCTAGTGCCTAAAGCCACAATCGCACTGGACTTTTTTTGGTAAAACTAACCAACACGTTGGCTAGTTTTACCATAATTAGTCCAGTGCGAACAGCACAGGAAGTTTACCTGACAGGAAACTTACCCAAGC